AAGTACATCCTTTCAAACTGCTAGTCACATCCTCATGTAAATGGCAATTTATCGAGGTCATAAAAATTATCGAGTTCATTTTTATTTATCGTACGATAAGTCAATTAATTGCTTATCGCGACAGGCACACAATAAAACAGTGGAAACAAACATGTTTGACTTTCATTAGTGAATGAAACTGTGTGCACTTTATAGTCTGTGTCCATTATTGTGTATTTGTATATATTGTATATATATCCTATATATATGCTAAGGTCCCGCTGCTGACACGATAGCAGTCATTTCGTGCGCATATGTGTAATTAAACCGAATTAAACCCATGATATCAAAATCTCACTCCAGCCAGGTACCCAAAGTTGGCAACCCTGCGCCTCAGTAGTAGTAGAAGTGCCTTTTAGCACGTCATGGATTGTCCGCCAGGATCTGGCTGGACGAAATCAAATGCAAATCACAAAATATTAGAGAAACTTAGTTGTTTTAGATTCGTTAGTAGTAGTTGTGTAATGAACAGCTTTCCTGCTAATATGCTAACCTAGCTTTGTTTACCTTGGTAGCTAACACGATATGAACGTTAGCTTGGAGGAAAGGCAACTATAATGCAGTGTAATAAAACTACTATGAACAAAAGCTAGTGGTTCATATTAGGCTAGCAATAACGTGTTTATAATTGCAATCGTATACGGGTATTCTGCTACCATACAATGTAACTTGCATGAATACATTGTTTTGCGCTAGCATACAGCTAGCCTCGTTAGCTACATGCAGTATATGTACGGTCACAATGTACGGTAAATCACAGTACAGTATACTGTATGAGTATTCCGTGTGTGTGACTGCAGACATTCTCCTGCCATGACAAACATGTAAGGCCATCTGCTGACATTGTAGTTGATATATTTAAACGCTAGCAACGTAGCATCACAAAAATGTTTTTCTGACCAAAACTAGCTCTAGCTCCGTGTGTTAGATCGCTACGCCAGCTATAATGTAATTATGTTTCGCGACTGACCGGCAAATCACCCGGAGTATACTGTCAATAGGTATTTTGTGTGTGAATGCAGACATTCTCCTGCTATGAGATACATGTATGCAAGGCCATCTGCTGATATTAGAGTTGATATATGGAAACTCTAGCAACTTAGTTAGCACAGTTAGCACTGTGTCAATGGCTTAGCAGTCCAACACAGTTTACACATTTAAACAGTCTTGTTTGATAAATACACAAATAACAATGCAAACTTACAGGTTGTATACCCAGATCTTCCCCTGCTCCAAACGGTCCAAACAAGCTGTGCATATCCGGCCTCAAACTGGGCAATGTTTTGGAAGCTTTCGTCTGTGAAATGCCGGTTCTTCGAACCTCTGGAGGAGGAACACGCCGCTGCTGGTGTGGCCATAGCTCTTCGGGATTGGTCCATTTCGTTCCGGGTACCGCATGACATCAGGCGGTACCCGGAAGAATCAAATGGGCAGTGACGTATCTCCAACGAGGCGTTTTGGGGAGGTATTTTCTGTGTTAGAGTTTTACTCGCTACAGGGTGTACTTTGAGGGTTTTGACTCTGCACACCGTTTACATGCATAAAAACCTTCATAACACACAAGGGGACGGGTAATAACCGGAAAAGCATGACATGGGAGCTTTAAAACATTTTAGACAGCCTCACGAAATACTTTAATGTAAATTAAAATGTAAATGTGAAGGGGTGTGTGTAATGTGGTGATTGACATTATTCACCCACGGATCTATGGGTTGGGGGTATTGTTCCGCACGGACATTTTAGTTAAACGGACTTACTGTTGATGTGAAATCCGAAAAAAAATACGTTATACACCATAACGGTGCACAGCTGATATAAAAGGACTTGTCGTTTTTAAAGATATTACTGATTTTCTTTGAATATAAGAATGTAAATACTGAGTTGAGAGAATAGTCAGGGGATTTGGGTGATGGGAGACACATCTATGGATTCAGAATTTCAATAGCTTACTGTTAAATGACAGATATACCTTTCTGTCTGTGATGTTTTACAAATCAGATATTATAAGTAAAACATGTGAAATAATATAGCAATATCCTGTACATTTATGTGAAAACATGAATAAAACTACACATCTTCAGATATTATACATACACAAGTGTCCTACACTAATAATACAAAGTTATTATGGCTGTGTGCACCGCCTAGTGGTTAAAGCACGTTATTGAATTAGTTGTGTATATGATATGTCAATGATCCTTAGAAAATCTTGAAATCTTGAAAGGGATATGCAAAATAGCCATTATATACAGTCTTTAATGAACTATTAGTAGAGAATAACGAGTAATGAATATACTTTATAGGGATCTGCAGATAAATGTTTAGTCTTCTCAAGCAGCAACTATCAAATATCTCTCCTGATTGTTGGCACTTGACAATCACCTTTCCCTGAATTTTACTCAGGTGTAACTAAAGCCTGATTTAAGGGTTGTTTATATTTCACATCATTAATCAGAATCTGCAAAGTAACTAAAATAAATGTAGTGGAGTAAAAATACCAGGTTAACCTCTGAATTGTAGTGGAGTAGAATTGCTGTTTTGTTTAGTAATGGATATTGAATATGGAATAAAGGTTTTGACAAGACCTGGTGTAACAATAATCAAAAAGGACATTAAAAGAGCTCCAGATGTCAATGATCTAAACAAAACAGCACACCTGAAATGTATTAAATACTTTATTAAGGGCAGTGAATTAGTTTTTTCTGTATGTTTTTCAAATCAGTGTTATACAGTAAGTGTCATAGACAGTGTTACATTGCTATTATTATCCTTAAAATATATATTATAAAACAAAACCATTTATGATCTTTTTTTTTGGGTGGTTTACTAATGACAGTTAATTCTGTCTCTGCTATTGATGGTTTCATTTTTGTGAAAAATAATCAAATAATCAAATTCAATAACGTGCTTTAACCACTAGATGTGCCTTTCTATCAACTGTGCACCGTTATGGTGTAAATACAGCCTATCTACCAATTGGATCAAATATAAAAGTCAGCCGAATTATTATTGATACTGCAAGGAGACGTATTGTGTGAAAATAAATGTAAGATGTTGTTTAATTGCGGATATATTTATGATCCACGTCACGTTTTCAGTTTTGGCGGCAGTGCTTCCTGTTTGTCCAGAAGTCTTCTCATCAGGGCTCTATAAATACAGAACTACGGCAGATGTGTCATATTTAATGCAGCCAAACCGTGTATTACAATGTCGTTATGTGATGACCTCCAAAGAGAAAAGCAAGCAAACTCGGAATAAAGTATTATTTTATTTTTTTTAAATGTTTTCGGATTTCACATCAACAGGAGTCCGGTTAACTAAAATGTCCGTGCGGAATAATACCCCCAACCCATAGATCCGTGGGTGAATAATGTCAATCACCACATTACACACATTCCTTCACATTTACATTTTAATTTACATTAAAGTATTTCGTGAGGCTGTCTAAAATGTTTTAAAATATAATTAGGGTTGTAGTTGAAGAGTTTGTAAATTGCGTTGCCTGGCAACGCAATCGCACAACGTCACGTCCGTTAATTCCACATCCTCACCTCCACACACATGGATTAACATCGATTTAATACATTAATGTAGCCTTTGTTTCTGCTAAAAGAGGTGTCGACCAGCTAGGGCAACAAGAAAATCGGCAAAATCGAGTGTGACGATTAAAAAATAAATTAAAAACATCTAATTTTGACAATAAAAACCGACCAATAGGCGCGGTAGACCATTTGCTAGGCACTTCCGGGTATTTCTCCACTGGTTGGGCCATGATAACAATACCGTGTAACTGTCACGTTTGAAGGGACGAAACCGTGATATATTCACGTCTCCCAGCATGGTAGATCGTCACATGTTCACGTCTTGCCGTGATACCGGGTTGAAAATAGCACCATAGACATTAATTAAAAATCGCTTTTTAGACATTAATGTCTATGGTGAGATTCATACACGGGAGCCTTTTTAAAGCCTTTTTACCCCGCTGCAAACAGAACTCAATAATAATGTTTGATTATAAAATAAATAACTTACAGTTCTACTTATGGTTTTTGATGCATGCGGTACACCCACAGAAAGTCAAACATTTAGGATATATACAAATACGGGTAGCATAACTAATAAATATTTTAGTGATTTGTGTCTCTCTTCTGTAGGACAAATTAAATAACAACATCCAATACAGAAGTTGATCTGAAACAAGCTCAAATAGCCTACCATAATGAAATGAATCCATCAATTATTATTATTGTTATGATTATAATTATAACTTAAATGAAATGTTATACCTGGAAAAACAAATACATTTATCATATATATTTTATCATAATTCTATTTTATTCATTTATTTATTTATTTATTAATCCTGCTCATCTACATGACGATCCGAAGCTGTGTGCACTACTTGCTGGTCGTAACTGTCAGACCTTTTAATCTGTGTTTTAATATGTCTGTTTTTAAAGCACTCGCTGGAGCAGTAACTATACATCTCGTTGTATTCTGTACAATGACAATAAAAGCTTTTGAATTTTGAATTTTGTACAGGACCGAAAATAATAAATAGAAAACTATAATAAAAGAGATGAATGGAAGAGATGGACGAAATCATTTCAATGAGAAAACTAAATACCAGGTTTGAAGGGATTTATGTGGAGGGAAGTCCAGTGACAGGTGATAAAACTGCGCGCACCAGAAGTAAAGGGCGTTGTTTATGGTGACACTGGAGTGAACGAGCAACGAGGACATCCCAACTCATACCTGAGGACTCCTCTGTCCTCGCGTCTCTTCCTCGTATCTCTCGGAAAGGAGGAGGTGAAATATTCAATTGAGATGAACTCCAAGTGTCTATGTTACCCTCCTAACACATTCAGAAAAACCTACAACCATTAGTTTTTCACAGCGTTAAAACTTCAGAACACAATAAAGTAAAAAAATAGGAAGGACATCATTTTTAACACACTTACTGCAAAGATGAGGTTGAAAATAAACAACGTATATTTGCAGAGACGGCCACAATCATCCAGAGCCATGATGCTTATTTTACTGAAAATACAAGAAAAGCAAATTATTTCCTGATTTATGCATACCTTTTCTAATGCAAGCTTCTACCTATTAAACAAATACACACATAGAAATAACAACCACTTATATTTTACGTGTAAATGCCATATTACACCAGTTTTAATATGTTTAAATCATTGCTTTTTCCTGTTAATATATCAAAGTAATGCAGCCAAAAAAACGACATAAACTTTAAAATGTTATAAATACCTGGATATCTTTTGACGCCTTTAATCCTTGCTGCTATCAGACAGAAAACACAATAGGATTAACACAGGAGACGCAGCGTGCCTTTTTTTTAATACCCCGACGTGCGTCATGTCCCGCCCCTTCTCATTCGATTGGCTGAAAGGAGTGACGGACATGAGAGACAACCTATAAGCAGGCGTAGGCGTACAAAGTAGGCGGGGCTATATGAACATGACGGTAAGAGTGAAAGTTAAGGAAATGAGATCTCACTGAATGAAAGTGAATGTTGATTTTGTGCATTTTAAGACTATAAATAAATAAGAATACATCTTAATTGTTCTGTATTATAGAAATATTTGATTTACAAAAAAAGCCCTAGCACTTTTATGCATTTACTTTTTCTGTTATTGTTATTTTTATTTTTTTATTTCCACAAATATCACAGGGATTCAAACACCCATTGCATTTCAACTGCAATCATTTATAATGCAGAATAATAAATGAAAAACTACTGTAGTAGTGGATATTTTTTAATTGGTGTAAATGTGAAATGTATAATCATACATAACAAAATTGGAAACAAAGGACAGGTAGTGACATATCCCCTTTCTTTCAATTTCACACACACACACACACACACACACACACACACACACACACACACACTCACACACACACACACACACACACACACACACACACACACACACACACACACACACACACACACACACACACACACAGCAGAGTCTACGGATGGACATTAGCTCAAAGCTAAAATCCGGCTCATTTACATTTGAAAGCATTATTTTGTTTAAAATGTTAATTAATGTGCATTGTCCCAGTTCAAATAAACGATTAAACAAATTGTACATTTGGCTTTGGCTCATACAATTATAATGAACCACACCCAATTCTGCTCCTGTAAAAAAATGTAAATGAATATGCAACAACACAACCTCTGTTTGTAGCATTTCCTCCACCATGTGTCTTGAAAAACACACATTACCCTGCATTAGAGAGACAGAGAATATATGAAACGGAACAAAACTAAAGTTGTGAAATTAAGTATATTTACTCAAATACTGTACTTAAAGAGGTCATATTCTGCTCATTTTCAGGTTCATATTAGTATGTAGTGTCTCTACTTTAAAGAGTCCTCTCCTGCTGATGTTCAGGTGTATATCAGTATGTAGTGTCTCTACTTTAAAGAGTCCTCTCCTGCTGATGTTCAGGTGTATATCAGTATGTAGTGTCTCTACTTTAAAGAGTCCTCTCCTGCTGATGTTCAGGTGTATATCAGTATGTAGTGTCTCTACTTTAAAGAGTCCTCTCCTGCTGATGTTCAGGTGTATATCAGTATGTAGTGTCTCTACTTTAAAGAGTTCTCTCCTGCTGATGTTCAGGTGTATATCAGTATGTAGTGTCTCTACTTTAAAGAGTTCTCTCCTGCTGATGTCCAGGTGTATATCAGTATGTAGTGTCTCTACTTTAAAGAGTTCTCTCCTGCTGATGTCCAGGTGTATATCAGTATGTAGTGTCTCTACTTTAAAGAGTCCTCTCCTGCTGATGTTCAGGTGTATATCAGTATGTAGTGTCTCTACTGTGACATGTCTCCATGCTTTAATGTTCAAAAAGCTCTTTATTTTTCCCATACTGCCTGCACTCTGGTTTTGTTTCATGGAAATAACAGAAACACAAGTCTTGATGAAGAAAAGGGGAAAAGCCCCGAATGGAATATTTATTAGAAAACGTATAGTGCAAAAACTACAGGGCAAAGACAAAGAGAAGGACAAGAAATACTAAACAAGACACTTGATGCATTTGATCACAACAATTAGATTGCAAGAGCATGAAGGAATACAAATGTGAATATTGTGGTGGAAACATTAAAATGATCATGTGTTGACTGTGCTGAGATACAGGTTGGAGTGCTGTAATGTCTTAACTCGAGCAGCTGCGTGATGGAGTACTTCAGCGTCATATGGTGTTGTGCAAAATCATGCACCTCCGCCGTGAAATGCACCCCTTGTCACGGGAACGCGCATTTGAAAATGAAACGTATAGTCCGCTATTCTATGTTGTCCCTCTCGATTTTTTTGTGATTTTAGCGTTTTTTTAATGGTAATTTTCAGACTTATACTGTGAGTCGTTTAGTAGTAGGTCTAGCTCATGTCTTGACTCTTGTGGTTACACTTTTCGCTCCGTATTTTGATGGTTGGGTTGTCGAATCCTGGATTTTGCATTCATTCGTCACTTCTTTTTCAGTTAATTTTTTTATTTAACATATGTTTTTATTTAATTGTGACGTCCTGTCTGTATACTTGTGCTTTTAAATGTATTGTCTAATTTTACATATTTGTCATAATAATTTAAATATATGTTTACAAATGTTACATAGTCTTTGTCAGCATCTTTTGCATTATAAAGATTACTTTTTCACCTTGTTGTGCTAATTATTCAGGTCTAAATGAGCTAATGGATTTTTACATCAAGTGCTTGAGGGTCAGGAGGACAGATGCAGAGTTGGTAGCTGTTTGTGTTTGCCACGGACCTGCGGACGTGCACAGACATTTTGGGGGGGGCAGGAGCTCAAGTGAGAAAAAGGGCACTTCCCATAATAATTTATAAAAGACTTACTGACACATTTATTTTAATACCCTCACACTCACGCAATTGTTTAATACTCAACATAATTCAACTAACACTACGCACAAGAGCAGACAACAATCAGAATTATGAAGTTACTGTTTAAGGACATTACAGGCAAAAATATCGTTTTTTCATGTACTTGTACATTTTGGTCTATTTTGCTTCAATGTTTTCTTTCACTAATGGAAAGAAAACTTCCAAAAAACACATATAAATGATGTTCGTTTTACTACCTGTCTGAATTCATCTATAGATTTTAAGCTAATCTGCATTTAAACATAACATTTCAGGGGAAAATACTGACTTGACTATCTGGGGAAGTTGTGAGGTGATATGTATTTTTTATTTATTTTTTCTCCTTTTCTCCTGCAATGCCTTGGTAACTGCATGCAAATTGGCGCAATTTGATTAGGCTATATGTAACGTCTAATTTGCATATCAATGTGGCGATTGTGATGACGTTATTAGATACACATTTTACTGTATTCACCTGTAGTGTCTCCCTTTAAGTACAGTACATTAGCCTACGCCCATGAGCTAACTTATCCATTAGCCACCACCTTAGTTAACAATTTGGTTTTTGGCTTTTGGCTAAGCTCTGTAAGCTAGAGGCACTGGCAGTTTAGTCATTTGTTCATCACCACTCACCTTCAAACAAGCCAAGAAAAGCCGGCATAACATGGGACTGTGAGGTGGGAGGTGCTGCTACCTGTCTGTCTGAGGTGACTGCCGATGACTGTCCGCACCGCTGTGCGCGAGACGTGGAGGGAGGGAGGGTAGAGAGAGCATCGGAACTTGACAGTCTAATCTCCCGACCTGATATTTTTATTTTTTATTCAATCAATATATATTTTTTGGAAAGGGACACTGTGCGCAAACAGCAGCAAAAATAAATATTTAAAAACATAACTTTCTCTGGAGGAAGAAAAAGGGCAGGGGCTAAAGCCCACTTCGATGTCTATGTGTACACGTCCCTGGACCTGCCGACCAGAGATGGGGAAAGAGCCAGAAACACAGAAAGATCCACAGCATGGCAGATGATCGAGCTGGGAGGAGAAGTAGACAGCAGCTAACGTTAGTAGCCACTCGTAGCTTAACGTTAGTAGCTCGTCCAGCCGACGAGGGATTTGCAGGACAAAATTGGTTGGAGGGTTTGATAACTTCCTGTTGGAGGGTTGTATCGCGCAGTGATCTCCTGCTGCTCTCTCTTGGTCAGTGTCAGGAGGACAATGCTGCAGACCAGGGCAACAACCTGTCATTCAGACACAGAGGGAGGAGGAGAGGTGAAGAGGAGGGATGGGAATAAGAGCCAGTCTTCCTCACCCGGGTCACACCAGCCACAGAATGAGTTTTGATGTAAGACAGGTACCAGCCCAGGCTAGCAATTAGCATGCAGCCACACAAAGAGACTTGTGTGGAAGGCAAAATGATATGAGAGATATGAAGACACTTTAAGGAAAAATCCAACCCTGGATATATGTATTTTTTGACCATAGATAAACATGCTTAAAAACAAATTAAGGTTCTTAAATATGTGCAGTATTTAAATAATAACACATTTAAAAAAAAAATGTATTGAAAAATAATTGCTCTTTTGCTTAAATATTTCTCATTCCCCTTCTTTAGTAGTGCTTGGAAAATATTTGCAGATAAGCATTTTTCCATTATCTAATGGAATAAAAACGTAAAACAACATAAAAGATCCAATAACTTAAGTGCCGTTATATTTGTGCCTTTAAGGGTGGATTTTTCCTTTAAAGGGAGCTGAAGAGACCCCACAGTGAGCATGCACAGAAGAGATGAACATGAAGTAATGTGAATGTGAAAATAAACCCAGATCTGTATCCTCTATGCCCGAGCATTGTGGTAAAAGTGCTCTCTAAGTTATAACTATGGGGATGTTGGCCACAGTCAGAGGTGTGAAGACCACCGGCTTCTGTTCGGGGTACGAGTAGGAAATGGAGGTGGAGGTGGGGATATATTCAAGCTGAGATGGTGGAGGCTAAGTCAGGATGATGTACTGAGGAGAGGATGGGGTCTTGAGCTTTTTAGCAAGGATTGAGCTGCAAATCAAAGCCAGGAGCTTTTGGGAAGCAGTGATGAAGAGAGTGAAAAAAGGTTAGGGAAATATTAGTTTGAAT